AGCAGGAAACGCGGATCACATCCCAGGGAGTCGGAGCGCCAAACGCACCATGTTCTGCCAGCAGAGCCTCCTTCTATTCAGCAGGGATCACTTGCTTTTGTGCCGCCCTTAGTTCTGGTTTACAAAGCTGTGGCACAGCTGCCTGGAGGTTTGGGGCTGTTTCCAGACACTGCTACATGCTGATGCTTGAAAACCTATTTCCCTCCTGGTACCACCCATCTTATCCTACTGATTTCACACGTCCGTCAGTGCACAGATTCTTCCAAAGGAGCCTCCAAAGACAACCATTGCCAAATGACCTAGAACAGCGAGAATGTATTTAATTTATAACAACAGAATTTGAAGAAAGCTGCCTGTTTCTGAGACTTTTATCGTATCTGGTTTTCTATGCAAAGTTACGATTATGCTCGTGACTCAAATGTTCTGTCAGCTGAGCCCTGAAGGCCCCAGCTCTGATTTTTAAAATAAACAAGAACCAAGAGCCTGTGGTGTTTACTGTGTGCTGCAACCCAAGCAAGCAGAGTAACAATATCTGCTGACCTGCCCGCCTCTCACCTGTCCTCTTCATCAACCCCACTCCCGGGGCAGGGAAAGGATTTACGTTCATTTTATCTCAAAACATCACCCGTCCCTTTAAGCAGTATCCAAAGTCTCTTGCACAGAGGGTCACTATTTATCATCCTATTTTTCTCCCCAAAGGGCCTCAGGTAAGAGGAGAGAGGGTGGAGCTGTGATCTCGGGGCAGTGGTCAGGGTGAGGGGCACGGGCCCGGCGTGGTCAGCATCCTCTGGCCCCAGGTGATGACCGGGACCACCTGGTCCTGTCCCCGCCCCTGTGCAGCATGGGGCCCTCTGCTCCCCTGGGCCCCTCAGTCCTGCTGGCTGCCAGCCCCCAAGTCTCCCCCGGCTTCCAGGGCCCACCTCACCCTTGTAGGCAGCATGCCTGGCAGGCTCTGCCGCCCTCTCAGTACAGAAGCTGGGGACTGTGAAAGTGCGGGGCAGGCGCCACAGGTGCGGCCCTGGGCCAGCGTCCTGCTAGGCCTCATGAGCTCTGATGTGGCTGCACCGGGTCGGGAGGACCCCTCACCCCTGACCACCTCACGGGCCCGGAGCGGTCGCCCAGCCCAGGGCAGTCTGCGGCCTTTTCTGTCTTCTCCCTCCACGACCCCCCTAGGTTTCTGCAACAGAAAAGGACAGGGTGGTCCTTTCAGGTCTCCTCCCCGACCCCGGCCTTACGACTAAGCTTCAAGGGATGAACAGGAGCATCTTTTCTGCCTTAAGGAGAGAATATGACGACTTTTCTCTGGTCCCTTCTCCCTGCATTTCTTAAGAAGCAAATCCTAATCTCCCCCAGGGAGGTGAAGGTTTCAGGTTAAGTCAAAAAGGCTTTGTACTCAAAAGTCCAAAAAGAAAAGAAAACAACATTTTACAAGCTTCCATGGTAGCCCTGCCGCCGTTGCTCCCACGCATGCCTAGCAGCAGCACTGGGTATGTTTCTCTCTTCCCGATGCTTTTTCCAAACTCCGGTGTTTCTGTGTGAAATGCAGTGCTTCCTGGCTGCCGTGCTTCAGAATCACAGCAGGAAATCAGAAGCGGGAAGTCAGTAAGCACCCATCTAACGCCCTAGGTTGGAAATACTGTCCACAATAATACAGGTGAGAAACACGAAACTTCCAAAGCACAGCCCAGGCTCCACCCTTGGCTCGGGGAACCTCCTCTGTGGCTGCAAGCAAACCCCAGCCCTTCTCTCTGGGCCTTGGTTTCCTCCCTGAGAAAAGGGAGAGCTTTTTCCAGATTATAGCTGGGACACCCCTCCTTGTAATCCCAGAATGACTCCAGGATGGAGCCCAACGTGGATGCGTGCAGTGTCCACTGGCATCAGGCGTGACAAGCTCGGATGGCCCCACTGCTGAGGCTGAGCAACCCCCAGACGCCCGGCACCACGGGGATGCTGCACGACGGGTGTGTCTCCGTGCGCTCCTGGGAAATTTCTTTCCCCGAGAAGGATGACGTATTGGGATACGCCCCTTGCCCCCCTCCACCACGGCGGTACCGCTGGAGGAGAACGCGGAGCGCCGCCCGGTCCCGCCTTCTCGGTATTCGAGGAGCACGTCCCAGACGCCACGGCGGGAACATGGGTCCACCCCGCTGGTGGGCTCGTCCAGGACCACGGTCCTCGACGCCTCGAGGAAGGTGATGCCGAGGGACAGCTTCCTCCACGCGCCCCGTGAGAGGGCGCGGGCGTGTTGGGGCTGGTGCTGTGCCAGCCCCACGTCCTGGAGAGTTCTGGAACGAGAACACAGCCCTCACCTCCCTGAACTCCTAATCCCACTCCACAAACAATGCCTTGCGAGGACCGAGCTCTTTCTAAGAGGCCCAGAAACACAGAGGAGGCCCAGGACCCACGTTGCCCACGAGTCCTGACGCGACAGCACCGGCCTCCGAGGGGCCCGGATGGAGCCACGTCGGGGGACCCAGCGCGGGGCCTCATGAGCAGGACCTGCCCTTAGGTCCCGTTTGTAGGAAATACGTGCTGTCTCCTCTCTGGGCTTCACTCACACCTGCTGCCGAGGGCCCTCCGTTCCCTCGGGACTCTGCGGAGGCCGGTGGGGCGGCCAGAGCAGCCCGCCAGGCACGTCTGTGGAAGGTCTGGACTCTGGTCCACATGCGCTACATCTGGAGCAGCCCCTTCCTGACTGAGGAATGACCAGACGCCGTTAGAGTGTGGATTGGCCCCCTCTTATCTTCGGGAGCCTTCAGTCTCTGATTTCAGACGCCCGGCATCTCCCAACGGGAGGAGCCACCGCCGTCTTTCCTCACAGGTAACCTTTCACTCTGAGCCCCGTGACCTCTTGGGAACACTTAGCTCCCCCAACCTACTTAACCTCACCCTCTGTGCAGCCCCTCTTAGAGCAGTGCCCCCCGAAACCCTCCCCTGAGCACCCACAGCCAGTGGATTTTCTCCCACGGAGCCGCAGGTGGGTCACGACTTCCTGGAGGCCACGGAGCAGCCAGAGAGGACGAGGGATCACAAGGTGCCACGCAGCCTTGCTTCAAGACGGTCAGCTCCCAGAAACCGCAAACCCCCAGGCAAAGATGCTGACTGGTAAAATCCCAGGGACCCGCCTGCCTGACCACCGAGTAAATGCTTCGTGTCCGTTTCACTGTTTGCGGATTTCTCATCCCGACCCAGAAGGAGCCCAGGAGAGCTTCTCAGGTCTGGTTGTCAGTCTGCCGCCTTGACGGTTGGTCAGCATCCCCGTGCATTTCCTGCGAGGTGAACCTCAACTTACATTTGGAGCCATTCTTGCCCTTGTTTTTCAGGTGCTCCCACTGTGGGTAGCAGCCCAGTTGGGAGGAAAAGGGCAAGCGGTCCATCTCAGCAGGGGACTGACTTCACCTTCATTCCCATTAGACCCCCAACCCCTCCCCGGCCAGGTGACTCCAACACCAGAGGAGGTGAATTTATTTAGCCCACGTTGGTCCCACATGGACCGGCAGAGAAAACCAACAGCAAAACAAGGCAGTGAGATGTCAGATGTTCTCAAACACACAGGTCCTAATTCCATTTCTATGTTATACCAAAACCCCACCCATTCTCTCTCGACCTTGAACTCAGCACACTCCTATGCACTCCACACCAGGCCGCACCCTGGACCCAGCTGCTTCCGGCAGCCGCAGCTCCACCAGAGGCTCGATCCCACGCGTCCTCCTCTGACCACATCCTTTCTCCAGCCATCGCTCACCCACAAAACCCGACTCTCCTCTGGGCCCCCCGGCCCCTCCCTGCCCTCTGCGTCCACAGGCTCTGCCCTCCGCAGAGTCGCCCCCCCCCACAACCCTCCCCGCCACTCCCGGGACGGCGCCCAGCAAGCCACCGCCCACATCCGCCTCAGTGGTTCGCTCCGTATTCGAAATATCCTCTTCTCTTCCATCTTGATAACGTCCCATTTCTTTGCTCCCTTTCGCAGCAAGACTCTGGGGAAGAAGTGTAGTTTCCAGCCCCCTCCTTCCATCCCCTCTCTGTGGACTCCAGAGAGACCTCCCTCCCCACTGTGCTACTGAGATGTGTCTGCCCAAGTCACCGGCCACTTCCTTACCCTAAGTCCAGAAGTCGTGTTTCGGTCTTCATGGTAGCTGACCCTCCTCAGTGGACTGGTCCCTCCTCATCCCTTCACACTGCAGGGTCCAGGCTCGGTGCCCTGTCCTCTCCTCACGTCCACCTGCACACCTGCCCTCTTGGGTCTCTTCGCCGTCCAACAAGCCAGCCTGCAGCTGGAGCCCTGCGGTGCTTGCCGGAATGCTCAAGACCAACGTTAACTGCATCACGGCATCCCATTGATAAAGTGCCTCCTTGACTCCTCCTACCTCCTCCTCCAAATAAAAGGTAGAACAGTAAAGACCTGACTCTTGACAAAGGTTCCCTCTGAGGCGTCTACCCAGGATCCCGTCTGCCTTGAACAGGATTGTAACGAAGCTCCTCATTAAGGAAACCAAGCACTGCCACGGGAGCTGACAGTGAGGTCAGCTGCGAGTCAGGGGCTTCAGCCGCTGGTCCTCTAATTGAGAACAGCTGTCCTAAAACATGATCGCACCCCGACCACCTCTGTGCACACGAGCCTCGTTGCCAGGTAACACGCAGCAAACTGATAACCACCGAGGTTGCTGCACCCACATCGAAAGATGGAGCCCGCAAAGCGTCGTTAGGAGCTACGTTGAGGCCCAGCCACTAGCAGAGCAGTCTGCCGTGGTCCAGGGTAGGCGCATACTTTGAATTAAAATTGGTGCCCCGAGACTTTTATAAAAATGTAGGTGGCACGTAACCAATCTGTCCTTTAGCAACACACATCACTTCTCTGCAAGTACCTGCTGTCGTTTAAGACAGGCTTGACTAGCACAAAGGAGACATTTTCCTGTGTATTCGAGACCCCACAGTCACTAGCGTGGCTGTCATCAGCAGCCACTTCTGAAGACGTGATGTGAACCTGCCCCCTGCAGTGGAGAACAGCCTCTAGACACCACTTACTGGCCAACAATGTGAACTGGGGGGTGACGGGAGACCACTGTTAAAACGAAGCCCAGGGCACCATCTCTGATTTATGGACTTGTGTCCCCTGAGGTTGGGGCTACCTCGGTTCAGACTTAATTCGCATATGACCCTGCGAGCGTGGGCGTCTGCCTGCATCTGACCTGCTCCACGCGCGCTGTCCCTAAACACAGTCCTCCGTTTCAAGGGAGATCATCCAGAGAAGCGCTGCTCTCTTCCAGGCATGGAGAATACACCTGCCCGAGGCGGGCGCTGCTGGAGAGACAGGGGGTCGTTTTCCAGCACTGCTCCCAACCACAAGGTTTTCCTGTTTCACGTGGTGAGGAACAGGGTCTCGGGGGACGGAGCACTCCCAAGCCCTGCACGCTTTCTCCTTCACTACCCGCTGACTGTAAACCCTCACTTTACAAAATGAATCTTGCGAAACTATTTCAAGGCAGCGATACGCGGTTACATGTGACAGTTCCTTAGATGCCCATTTTCTTCTGAGGCCCGTGCAGTACTGACCATCCATCCTCACACCCCGGCCCCAAAGCAGCATCTCCCCGCCGCGGGTCGGGCCTGCCTGACGTCCCGCTTCGTGAAGTCGGCCTGAGAACAAGGAGCCTCCACACTGGCCCGGCCGTGCATCCCCCCGAGAGCCAAGCCCAGCGTGGGTCACGGCCCTCACACCCACCCAGGCTGTGTCTTCTACATCAGTGGCTCCCCCGCTGGCTTAAGGCCCCACCCTGCCCTGTCCTTCCCCATCGGCCCCTGCTGCCTGCAACCACCTGCCCGCAGGGTAACTTCCAGGCTCCTCGGCAGGACCGCTTAGGCTCCTTCGCCCTCTCCTCACCCCCTCCACCGGTCCTTTGCACCTCGGGACACCCAGAAGCACCCACACCTGTTACACACCCACACAAGCCAGGCGGCGGGGAGCAGAGGTGGCTGCCCCCCACATATGGACATGCCCACGCAGCTCCTGGTGGGTCCCCCGTGGCACCTTCAGGGAGGAGAACAGCAGCAGGTAGTCGAGCACCGTGAGGGGGCCAAACAGGACGTGCGCTGCGGACACGTGCCCAGCTCCGCCCTGACCGAGGGTGCCTCCGTCTGCAGGTTCCTGCCACTGACTGCAATGGCTCCGGATGCGGGGGGCGTAGAGCCCCTTGGCAAAGATCTGCAGAGAAAGAAGAAACGTAAGCTGTCCCGGGGACGCCTGCAGCCTGCGGGGTGTCGCACCCAACCTCCCGCCAGCTGCCTCCTACACACGGAGGCAAAAAGTGGCAGGAGCTCTGTGGGACGCAGGCCTGCAGTCGGGTCATGCTCCCATGGGAGGCACTGTGGCCACCGACCTCAGAGCTGCGAGTGTAGGATGGTGACTCCGAGTCTGTTGTCACAGACGAGGAAGCAAGCTAGAGAAACAGCCAATCACCCAAGTCCTCACTGGATGTGAGGCGAGCAGAGACGCGACCTCAACCCCCAGACCTGCGGCCGGGCCTCATTCCTCTACAGGTGGCTGGAGCCACCTCTCTGCCACGTCAAATCCACAAGAAGCCGAGGCCCGTCTCCAGAAACTCATGTCTGCCTTGCCCACAGGACACCTGAGGTCTGCCCAGTCTGCTAGTTCAGGGAGTTTATTATTCATGCTTTGACTATGTTCTTTTTCTCCAAAGTGAGATATACACCCAACGCAAGACCTAGCAAACCACTCCTAACTACTTACAGAAAGAAATTAAAATGTGTGTCCACACAAAGTGGTCTACATGAATGTTCCTAATCACCAAAACCTGGACACAACCTCAACTGCCACCAACAGGTGAAACAATAAACCAGCTGTGGTGTTTCCACCACGTGGAATCCTCAGGACCAGACAGCTGATGCTACAGTACCACACGTGGGTCTCCGAGCATCGTGCCAACGGGGGACCCAGCACAACTCCACTTATAGGAAATGCTAGAGAATGCAAACTGCATAACAGCAACAAACAGCAGGTCTGGTCGCTTGGGGGCCAGGATTCAGGAGGCACAGGGGCCTTGGGGCGGGGAGCGGCACAAACGTCGGTGTCCTGTTCCTCCCCCAGCTGCTGTGCAGCTGTAGCTAAGCCTGTCGGCCCATCAGACACACATCTGGACACATACTGTTTGCTGCACGTGAAATGCACCTCAGTAACTTTGATTGACAACTGTGTGCTATATAATTTTCAAACCTCAGTAATTTTGATTGACAACTGTGTGCTATATAATTTTCAAACCTCTTCAGGGGATACAATGGGACCATGTGTACACATCTGGATGAGTCTCAGAGCTTCTCATTTCAAGCAGTGACCACCAGCCAGTGAACAGACCTCTGAGCCTCTCTTCTGAGACCTGCCAGGAAGAGACATCCCTGGGGTAACACAGCCTGCTGCAAACAGGCACAAAAAATAACTCAGTCAGCGACCCTCGAAACATCGAGAAACTCCTGATTTAATTCTCATCATTGTGCTGAACACAAACACCAGGTTTTCTTGTAGGAAATGTGCATTAGTAAAAGCACAGTGTGGAGGCTGTCTTTCTGAGCCATTATTTGAGCAACGTTTCCTTTCCTGATCTGAAAACGCTAAAAAACTACTCAGCGAAATCTTCAACTCTATTTCAGCATCCGAGGAAAGTAGAAACTTTTCCACATTTTCACAGTAAAAGATTTCTGAAGCTTTGTGTTTTCTACCTATAAGAATTCTGAAGCAAATACTCCCTTTTCTTGCTTTAACTAAGCATACTTTAGTCCTACTAATAAAGAACAAAAAGACAGTCACTTGCTCAAAAGAGACATTCAGTAATTTGGGTGGTTTGGCCTTAAACACGCCCCATTTCCACAGTCAGCTCAGGCTGTTTTGTGGGCCATGAATGTTTGAGCTCATCCTTTCTCTGGGATCACATGATTTGATTCTTTAAACAAATCTGGAGCCATTGGATTCCAAATCAGAAATAAAGATTTCACAAAAACACAACCACACAAAAAGCAGAACATGAAAAAGAAAAATACTCAGGTGTTAAAAAATTTGCAAACATCATTGCAAATTTCATCTTCCTCTAGATATGCAAGCAGAGTTAAACTTAGTAGGAGAAAAGAAAATGTCATAGGACTTTCAAAGGCCAAAGTGAAACCGTGAATATCTTTTAGGGAATAAAAGAATTAAATTTATTTTTAAAAGTCCCTCCCCCACCCTTGAGTCTGCTCAGACCCACGGCACCTCTAGTGAGAAGTCTGTCTTTCTGCTGTGTCTTTAAACTCTGTACTGAGACGAAATAAAAAAAAAAGAAGAAAAAAAGGGATCTAGCCTCTGTCTCACAGGTAACCTGGTATCTGTAAGAACCAAAGCCCCGGGTTTCAGGAGGGGAGTGGGACGCACATGACAGTGGTCTTCCCAGCACCGTTAGTCCCCGGCAGGGCAGTGATCTGGTCCCTGTGGAAGGTCAGGGTCAGGTCCCAGAACCCCGCCTGGTGGTGATCGTGCTCCTTGGTCACAGAAAGCAGGACAACACCTGGGGGGCCTCCTTCCAGCTCTCCTTCCCCATTTTGCAGGGATGAGCCTGTGAGGAAGATGCAATTCACCCTGAGGGGAATTCCAAAGCCCCCAAAGTAATGTTCACAGTTAATAACTCAGTGGCTGCCTCGGGCTTGAATTTTAGTTCTGTGAAACTTGCAAAGCAATTCAAAAATCTTTCTCTACCAAAATCAAGAGGCAGATTATACGATGGCAAAAATTAAGTGAAATCACTGACTACAAAGTTTTGTACCCTATGCTACACATTTTTCAAGAAAATAAAAACAAGCACGCATGCACACAGGTGTTTGTATGTATACAGAGGAATGATGGCAGGCAGGTTAGTTACACACACGACTGACAGTCTCCAGAGAAGGTGACCATTACTAGGTGGTGCTGTCCCAAATTTTCTGTGAGATTCATATTTTACTTGTGCAGCCAGAAAACAATTACAATATTGACTTACAGTATAAAACCGTCACGATGGGAGCTTGTTTATCCATAGATTCCTGCTAAGCTGTGCTCTGTGGACAAGCCCCAGACCCCGACAGGACTGGGGTGGGGACCAGCCGCCCCCCGCCAGTCTCCTGGGAAGCACATCCCCATTTGTAGGGGCAGCGATAGTCTCTCTGATGGAGCCTTGAATAAACTAGCACTTGTGAAACACTTTGAACATTCTGAAGTGTGTTACACTTGGGACTTTTGCTTCTATTTATTACACAAATTCATGTTAGAAATGAAGCTTCATTTTGATGAATTACAATAGATGCACAAATGCACATGATGCACAGAGGATGCTGCAAACAGTAACACTAACACTGGGGTCCCTGCCCACGAGGGGTGGAAAGTGGGCATCTGGGCAGCGGTGCACACACGGTTATAAAGGCTCAACCAGGAATGAAAAACAAAACCAAACTGGCCAGAAGGAGAAACACGCCTCCAACTACACTCCTTGTTACCAACCTTGACTGTCCACATCCCCACTGAAGAAGAACAGGTGAGAACCCCCATGATCTGCCTTTTCACCACCACCATATATGGAATCTAAAAAGAAAATGGTCCTGATGACTCTAGGGGCAGGACAGGAATAAAGACACAGATGTAGAGAATGGACTTGAGGACATGGGGAGGGATAATGTTAAGCTGGGACGAAGTGAAAGAGTGCCATGGACATCTATACACTACCAAACGTAAAATAGGTAGCTTGTGGGAAGCTGCTGCATCGCACGAGGAGATCATCTTGGTGCTTTGTGACCATCTAGAGGGGTGGGATAGGGAGGGTGGGAGGGAGACGCAAGAGGGAAGGGATATGGGGATATACGTATGCATATAGATGATTCAATTTGTTATACAGCAGAAACTAACACAACAATGTGAAGCAATTATACTCCAATAAAGATGTTTTAAAACATCCCTACAGAGAAAGATAACTCATAGTGCTAACATTTCTATATGAGGTGTATCGCCATTCTTCAAACGGATCCTCCAAATTAATTTCATCCACTTAATAGTTACTTTGCCCCATTATATATTGAAATGAAAGTGTATTTAATAATTAATGCCTATAATTTTTCTTTTAACACAGCCTAGCTTATATTTGATGCGTGGTCTAAGTTCTACAAGTGATTGAAGAGATAAAGGCCTCCATGCAGACTGTTTTATATTTTAGCATGTTGACCATTGAGCACAGAAGAGACACACAATCACACACACGACTCAAAAGATTCAAAGAGGTGACTGCAAAGGAAAGCATGGGGGTCCCTTGTCTTTTAATGTGAAGGAAGATGCTGAGCTGGTATTTGGTCCAGTATTTACCACCTGTTACAGGTTGTTGGAGTCTTAGCCCTGGTACCTTGGAATGTGACTGTATTTGGAGGGATAGTCTTTAAAGAGTGATTAAGGTAAAAGGAGGTCATGGGGGTGGGACCTGATCTAATAGGACTGGTGTTCTTAGAAGAAGAGATCAGGACACAGACACACACAGAGGCATGACAATGTGAGAACCCGGGGAGAAGGCAGCCGTCCACACGCCCAGGAGAGAGGCCTCGGGAGGAACCAGCCCTGCCCACACCTGGATCCTGGAGTCTGGAGCCCAGAGCTGTGACAGAATATGTGTCTCCTGTTTAAGCCCTGCAGTCTGTGTACTTTGTGATGCAACCCTAACCAACTAGAGCAGGTGGAATATACCCCAAGATCCCCCACACTAATAACCATCCCTCAGGGGATGAGGGGGAGTAGCAGGTGGGTAATTATATCACATCACGGCCGGCACTGCCCCGCACTCTGTCCCGGGCACCATCCAGGGTCCTGCAACCACCCGACATGGGCACACGGCTGTCTCCTCTCCTCCGCAAGCAGAAGGGGGGCAGCAAGTCTGTCTGAGGACATGAAGCTGCAGAAGCCACATGGTAGGATTGGTTCAAGATGGCGGAGGAGAAGGATGTGCTCTCACTCCCTCTTGCAAAAGCACCGAAATCACATCTAACTGCTCAACAATCATTTACAAGAAGACACTGGAACTCACCAAAAAAGATACCCCACATCCAAAGACAAAGGAGAAGCCACAATGGGATAGTAGGAGGGGCTCAATCACAATAAAATCAAATCCCATAACTGCTGGGTAGGTGACTCACAAACTGGAGAACACTTATTACACAGAAGTCCAGCCACTGGAGTGAAGGTTCTGAGCCCCATGTCAGGCTTCCCAACCTAGGGGTCCAGCAATGGGAGGAGGAAATCCTAGAGAATCAGACTTTGAAGGCTAGCAGTATTTGATTGCAGGACTTGGACAGGACTTTGGGAAACAGAGACTCCATTCCTGGAGGGCACACACAAAGTAGTGTGTGCATCAGGACCCAGGGGAAGGAGAAGTGACCCCATTGAAGACTGAACCATTCCCACCTGCTAGTTTTGGAAGGTCTGCTGCAGAGGTGGGGGGCAGCTGTGGCTCATCACGGGGACAAGAACACTGGCAGAAGAAGTTCTCAGAAGTACTCCTTGGTGTGAGTCCGCCATTGGCCCCAACAAAGAGCCCCGGTAGGCTCCAGTGTTGGGTCACCTTAGGCCAAACAACCAACTGTGAGGGAACCCAGCCCCACCCATCAGCAGGCAAGCAGATTAAAGTTTTCCTGAGCTCTGCCTACCAGAGCAACAGCCAGCTCTACCCACCACCAGTCCCTCCCATGAGGAAACTTGCACAAGCCTCTGAGATAGCTTCATCCACCAGAGGGCAGACAGCAGAAGCAAGAAGAACTACAATCCTGCAGCCTGTGGAACAAAAACCACATTCACAGAAAGATAGGCAAGATGAAAAGGCAGAGGGCTATGTACCAGATGAAGGAACAAGATAAAACCCCAGGAAAACAACAAAATGCAATGGAGATAGGCAATCTTCCAGAAAAAGAATTCAAAATGATCATAGTGAAGATGATCCAGGACCTCATAAAAAGAATGGAGGCAAAGGTTGAGAAGATGCAAGAAATGTTTAACAAAGATCTAGAAGAATTAAAGAACAAACAAACAGAGATGAACAATACAATAACTGAACTGAAAAATACACTAGAAGGAACCAATAGCAGAATAACTGAGGCAGAAGAACGGGTAAGTGACCTGGAAGACAGAATGGTGGAATTCACTGCAGTAGAACAGGATAAAGAAAAAAGAATGAAAAGAAATGAAGACAGCCTAAGAGACCTCTGGGACAACATTAAACACAACAACATTTGCATTATAGGGGTCCCAGAAGGAGAAGAGAGAGAGAAAGAACCCGAGAAAATATTTGAAGAGATTATAGTCGAAAACATCCCTAACATGGGAAAGGAAAGAGCCACCCAAGTCCAGGAAGAACAGAGAGTCCCATACAGGATAAACCCAAGGAAAAACACATCAAGACACATAGTAATCAAATTGGCAAAAATTAAAGACAAAGAAAAATTATTGAAAGCAGCAAGGGAAAAATGACAAAAAACATACAAGGGAATTCCCATAAGGTTAACAGCTGATTTCTCAGCAGAAACTCTACAAGCCAGAAGAGAGTGGCATGACACATTTAAAGTGATGAAAGGGAAAAACCTACAACCAAGATTACTCTACCCGGCAAGGATCTCATTCATATTCGATGGAGAAATCAAAAGCTTTACAGACAAGCAAAAGCTAAGAGAATTCAGCACCACCAAACCAGCTCTACAATAAATGCTAAGGAAATTTCTCTAAGTGGGAAACACAACAGAAGAGAAGGACCTACAAAAAGAAACCCAAAACACTTAAGAAAATCGTAATATGAACAGACATATCGATAATTACCTTAAACGTGAATGGATTAAATGCTCCAACCAAAAGATATAGGTTTGCTGAATGGATACAAAAACAGAACCCATATATATGCTGTCTACAAGAGACCCACTTCAGACCTAGGGACACATACAGACTGAAAGTGAGAGGATGGAAAAAGATATTCCATGCAAATGGAAATCAAAAGAAAGCTGGAGTAGCAATACTCATATCATATAAAATAGACTTTAAAATAAAGAATGTTACAAGAGACAAGGATGGACACTACATAATGACCAAGGGATGAATCCAAGAAGACGACATAACAATTATAAAAATATATGCACCCAACACAGAAGCACCTCAATACATAAGATAACTGCTAACAGCTATAAAAGAAGAAATCAACAGTAACACAATAATAATAAGGGACTTTAACACCTCACTTTCACCAATGGACAGATCATCCAAACAGAAGATTAATAAGGAAACACAAGCTGTAAATGACACAATAGACCGGATAGATTTACTTGATATTTATACAACATTCCATGCAAAAACAGCAGATTACACTTTCTTCTCAAGTGTGCATGGAACATTCTCCAGGATAGATCACATATTGAGTCACAAATCAAGCCTCAGTAAGCTTAACAAAATTGAAATCATATCAAGCATCTTTTCTGACCACAATGCTATGAGATTGCAAATCAATTACTGGGAAAAAAACATAAAACACACAAACACATGGAGGCTAAACAATGCATTACTAAATAACCAAGAGATCCCTGAAGATATCAAAGAGGAAATAAAATACCTAGAGGCAAATGACAACGAAAACATGACAATCCAAAACCTATGGGATGCAGCAAAAGCATTTCTAAGAGGGAAGTTTATAGCTATACAAGCCAAACTCAAGAAACAAGAAAAATCTCAAATAAACAATCTAACCTTACACCTAAAGGAACTAAAGAAGAAGAAACAAAACCCAAAGGTAGCAGAAAGAAAGAAATCAGAAAGATCAGAGCAGAAATAAATGAAACAGAAACAAAGAAAACAATAACAAAGATCAATAAAACTAAAAGGTGGTTCTTTGAGAAGATAAACAAAATTGATAAACCCTTAGCCAGACTCATCAAGAAAAAGAGGAAGAGGACTCAAATCAATAAATTTAGAAATGAAAAGGGAGAAGTTACAACAGACACCACAGAAATACAAAGCATCAAAAGAGACTTCAAGCAACTCTATGCCAATAAAATGGACAATTTGGAAGAAATGGACAAATTCTTAGAAAGGTATAACCTTCCAAGACTGAACCAGGAAGAAATAGAAAATATGAACAGACCAGTCACAAGTAATGAAATTCAAACAGTGATTAAAAATCTTCCAACAAACCCAAGTCAAGGACCAGATGGCTTCACAGGTGAATTCTATCAAACACTTAGAGAAGAGCTAACACCCACCCTTCTCAAATTCTTCCAAAAAATTGCAGAGGAAGGAACACTCCCAAACTCATTCTATGAGGCCACCATAACCCTAATACCAAAACCAGAAAAAGATGTCACAAAAAAAAAGAAAACTACAGGCCAATATCATTGATGAATATAGATGCAAAAATCCTCAACAAAATACTAGCAAACAGAATCCAACAACACATTAAAAGGATCATACACCATGATCAAGTGAAATTTAGAAAAGGGATATAAGGATTCTTCAATATACACAAATAAATCAATGTGAAGCATAAAAACCATATGATCATCTCAATAGATGCAGAA